ATTCAGTTACTTTTACATGGAGACGTACGTTCATGCTCCTTCACGATGAGAAGTAAATAGAACAACAGAAAGTGCATGAAAACAACAACTAGACTCAACAACAATTGTATATGACGTGCCTGCTATAAATCTACGTGAAGTGCTATGAATCAATTCAAAATCATCAGCTCACCTGGATTACAAAACTTCTCCGGATAGTAATCGAGCTTTAACTTTCTGACCAATTCTCGCGCCGCATCGATTTGATCATTGCTGGCTGCAAGCAATAGAACATTGAAGGGTGAACAGTGTTTTTTGTTGTGAAATTTTTGAATAAGAATGATCAATGGCTGGATTGAAGTTTAGTACGGATGAATGATAAATATCAATCTTGACACTTTTTTGAGGTTATAACCGGAATGAGCATTCAGTCATTAATGCAATAAACTCAAACGGTAACCTAAAAACTCGTTGCCATTAGGTTTTAGTTGACTATGGTTAGCTTAAACGGAGCACTGCAGCTTTTCTCAAACAGCATGTGACACTAAAAATGAACCTTTTGGCCATTCTCCATCAGGATGTGACATCTGCTCGCTGAGATCACGTTTATCTTCGAAAAATGGCAAATACACTAAATGAAATCCGGGATATCGAAACTTATCACTGTCTTTGGACTGAAATGAATTCGTGACAGAGTGGCAATCATACGAACTAATAATACAGATAATTATATACAATTGATGGCATTTGTCGAATGTAATATTACTGCTAAATACCAAATATAAGAAAAACCGTGGTGAATAAATTGTAGACCTCATCCGAAAATATCTTTAAATCACCGCACTTCGAACATTGACACTGGTTCCAGCATTAATGAATCAAATGAAATCGTCAATAACTGCATTCAATTCAAAGTTAGCAACGAATTAAACAATCCGGAATGCATAAGAACCTTTGAGTGGTCTGACTGATCGTGGCTGGCTGCTGACTGAGGTACAAGTGCGACTAATTTCGGAGGTGTATTTTCCTTTTGTGTATATCGACAAATCATAATCTTCTTCTTTGCTTCACACACTTCCAGCAGCGTTCTTAATAAACGTGCTGAACCAACTGTTAACTGAAATAATGAAGTGCACAACAAATTCTTCCCGTCACTCATCCACAACATCCATCCAACCCCATTCCTAATAACAGAACTCAATATCACCATTTTCATTAAATTCTGAGTGCGGTGCACATGAATAAAACTTCACCAACCGATTCTAAGGGATATACGTACTGTGAACATCGAATATGATGTGAAAGCTTCAACGCAGATACCGGTTTAAAACCCAGTAAAACCAGTCCTTAAAACAATCACCGACAAATACTAAAATGATACCAAATTCACAGTTAATGGGAGCTAAAGAGTTTCATTCGATAAAAATAAGAAAATAACACATCTTGCAAGATATCCTATAGATCACAGGGAGAGTTCCTCAACATTCGATGAGAATTCTGTTAAGTTCTGTTCAATTTGCAAGGAAATGAAAAGAATGAATCACCAGGAGGTGTGAGTCGGCGTAACTTCTCAATTTCGTCAGCACTCATATTTACTTCAGCGCCACCCACCTGCTGTCGTCGTGTAATTTCGTGTTCAAACAATGGCATTTCTTCATGATTCTGTTAAAAAAATTAAAAAACACAATTGCACGCATAAAAAACACAATTAGTCAATTTCACACTCGTGAAGAAGTATTTACCGAACAGGTCCAAAAACTGGCAAATTGTTTATAAAACTTGAAATTATCACTGGTATCGTTACTACCATTACTGCAACGAATGTATGCTATACCTGCTTATTTGTGTAAATAAACGACCTCTGCACTTTTTCGTTCCTCTCTGCATCCAAAGTATCGGATGAAGGCATTTTTTCAGATCGTATCAACGAATATCTGAATTCAATACATCAAAAACTGTTTCTAAAAAGAGAGAACAAAACGGAATCATTTAGGATGCAACTGTTAATGATATCACTGTAGCAGGAACAACGAGTGAAATATCACAATGAGATTAACGAAACAGGAACATCACACTTCAAGATCATTATTCTTATGGATTATCTTTGAATGTTAGAAGCAAGAACATTCCATCGAAAACTGAAGGATGATTTAACTTTATGAATAAACGAACATTCCAACAGATATTTTCACATCATCACTCAACGAAAAATCCATCGTTGAGATATTTCTTCGTGCGTATTGTTTACGAGCGATACTGCAAAAACATTGCTTGCTTANCTTTAGTCATAAAGCAGTTAATTATTCCAAAGAATTGCCAAGATGAAAACATTATAAATTCAAAAATCATTTCTGAAAGCATTATTTGCCGATATGATGAATTTAAAACAAATACGCCGTTTTATGCATAACTTATAACAAATGTTTGATTGTTAGTTGTAATTCGAATCAGCGAATGACGATTCGAAGAGAATTGCAATCGTTACAGCAAAACTTACTCTTCTTCCAATTCAACAATATTATCGCTATGTTTTTCAACGTCTGCGTCTAGATGTTTCTGTAATTTCCCAATTATCATTTCATGCAATCATCAAATATCTCTTCACAATCAGACGTTTCATTTAAAATCGATATTTAAAAAAGACTGAACTTTGATTTCGAATATCACAAAAGTCTCACTAACCCAGACGTTAAAGTCGAATGCGAATTCATCACGTTCAGATAAAATCGGAAAAATCGCGAATTCGGTGTTATGCTTACGTAGATCATCAGCGTTCTTGATTGCACCAATCGTGTGTTGTTTGCTCGAACCGAATGGATTCGGTTCATTCGTAAACAAATACACCACTCTCCGTTGAAATACCGGACTAAAAGTGATTGCATCTAATCATCTTATCATCTCAGAATCACAATAAAATCACTCCATTCATATATCACTGACTTTCATGACGCCTACTACCATTCTACTATCGTTGTTTCATATTATTACTACCATCAAATGGAATCAGCACATCACAAAAAAACAAATTCAAATTTCGACACGCTGCGTTATCTGAGTAATTCTGAATCAGCGTTCAATATTGCAAATTTCCGAAGCAAACGGATATGAATATTCTCTTAATTTCTTAATAATTCGAACGATCTTTTACCTTTGCTCTAGTAATTTAGTTAACAATTATGAATAACCATTCATGTATGATAATATTTGAAAGTGATCCGTTCACGTGCATTTAACTAATATCACAGCATGAATTAAAAATTTGAACAATCTTAACGCAATTCTGAATTTTCGTTCAGTAATGTAAAAACTAACTCTTTAGATTTGACCAGTTTGATGCACAAGAAAAGAACATCACTATAATCACATTTTCCATGACCTCCACCAATTTCGTGAAATGCCGATGAGATGTCTTCTGCAGGACGGAATCGCATTCAGGTTTAATGTTTTCAACGAATAAAATCACCAAAAACATTTCTTCAACACAACAAAAGTTCATATCACAACTAATGATTTGACATTTTGATTACGATGGAATACTGTTAATACTAATTGCGGTAAACTTCGATCAAAAGTGAACCAAGTTAAGTTCAAAAAACAAACTTATTAAAGGCAACCGTGACACACATAAACCGATTGCTCTTAATCATTTGAAATTTGGAAGCACATTAAATGATACTGTAATTCATTCGGAGTTACAATATTATAAGTTCAACTGCGAAAAATATAACCAAAAAAATAACCTGATTTGATCAAGTTATCGATCTGCTTCACCCGTTCAGCACTGATTACTCCTAGCTCTTGCCAAGTAACCACATTATCAACATTATTCCAACTTTTCGCCTGAAAGTCTGGATGCTATGAAAGCCCATTAGTCATCAGCATTACAACGGAAATAAATAGAACAGTAAAAGAACAAATCAACCAACCGTATTAATGAATATAATCGCCGTGTACTCCCCGTTCGAAGAGGTGACTGCTCTATTCACCAATTGTACACGAATTATCTGGAAAGTTTTTGTTCCGTATAAAAAAGCACAATACGTTTGTAATATCATCCTTTCGGAAGAGAAAAACGGCAATTAATGAACATCAAAGAGTTAGATTTTGCGAAGAGATTCGACCAATTTTATGAGTATTTAGATGCATACGTCTCAGTTTTAAATAAGATCGTCTGAAAGATCTCCAACCAACGAAATTCAAAACACTGACAATTAGTGGACAAAAATTAGCACTTAGAAATGATTCACTTAACTGCCCGGATGTGAACACCAAATATTTCAACAGATAAAAACTCTTTGCATTTTGCACCTAAAACTTGATGCTGAAACAAACCTTCAATGCTCTTCTGAATGCACAATCCGATGATCGATTGTCGTCGCCACTTTCACCTTCGTACTTCTCAAACATTTTCGGTGATGCATCAATCACGAATATTGTGCACTTCTTACCGGCATCTGACAGCATATATGATCCTTCCAGATCGTCATCATCGTCAAAATTGTTGAACCACATAACATTGAACTTCGAAAATAATCTGCAAATAACCGAAACAAACCTAACTCTATTAATTGATGAACATTTCCCATTATGACACCATCAATCAACGTCTTTTCAAAATGAGTTAGCAGAATCTTAAAACTAGTATAATTCCGAACACGTCGATGAATCGAATATTTGTTACGACTGCTTAGCAGCTTGTAACTAAAGCTTTTATTCGGAATGCAAACGAACTCCAATTGCACCGAAACGGGCCTGAGCTAGTTTACTGCCGAAATACGGCGATCTGCCACAGCACTAAAACTGCGTGTAGAACTGATTTCCTGGCGCATGAAATGAATACAGCAATGTAAACAATAAACATGCGGCGTCGAGCAACAAACAATCGCCCAACCGTCCAAAATAAGCCACTCTTCGTGAGCGTCAACAAACATGCACTAATCAAATGCAAATCAGAAAGTCGTTTGAGAAGTAACGGCCTCGGGAAAGTTTCCACCACGGCATGACTCGAACCTGCAATCTTCGCTTCCTTGCACTTACGCGCCACGCGGCTATACCTTCAGCTCCGCAATTTTTTAACTAAAAATAATCATAGATTTTATTGTAAAAGATAAATGATTCGATTGCTCAGCGCCAAACCCAAATAATTTCGGTACCGCGACCGAACTGCGTTCAGTATTCAGCAACATCTGATATCGAATGAAACCTTTATAAGCTCAACTGAATGAACATAAAACGTTGCTTAGAAGACGTCCAAAAGTTACAATCTGCACAATGAAATTAATGCACGCTTTATAGTGTTGAACTTGCTGTGTAGGGCAAAAGTGAAGTTTCGAAATTTATTGATGAAATAAACGTTTCAAGAACAACGAACGAGATTGGAAAGCAGTCACCAATGAGTTGTGTGAATTACGATATCCTTATTGTTAGCAGTGCTACGGATTGGACACAGAAATAATGACGGACTCAAAGAGTACACAGACAACAAGCGATTTCATTTTCATTTCATTCATTACAAGCGACAGCAACAAACATAGCAACTTGCGTTCAATGCCCCCTTAATCATTTAGGAGCGTCTCCTACCACTTCATCGCAGCTTATGAACCTTATTCATCTCAGATTTCTGGGCGAAAACAGAATTCTCTTCGAACAATTTTTATAAAATCAATCTTGTTCTCAGTAATGGCTATATCAAGCGAGAAAAAAGTTACATTAACGGTGACAGTAATGATCGCGATACTAGCTGAAGACCTTATTTTTTACAAAAGAATATAGCAAACGGTGCAATCGATTATATATTTCGGATGGTACTAACCAAATAATGAATACAACCAGTAAATGAAGACAAATAATAAAATTCACCAAGTTCAACAGATCGCACAGCTGTTTAGAATATGAAATAGAGACGAAACAGTTAA